ATTTACTAGTCCATGATCAATCATTAAATATGATCAATCGATCCGAACACTCAGATGTGTGCTTAATTTATGAATAATTTACCACTAATCCAAGACAATATACAAATTTGATGGATCATTAACCACTTTGATGTAAATATTTACAACTTCAATAGATTGTTTACCAAATTGCTGGCAATATTTACAAGTTAAATGGTATTCTTACGACATTTATGGCAATATTTAAAAATTACTAGTTTAGAAAAGTATTTACTAATTCAATGGTATTTTTAAGATATTTACTAGCCCATGATCGATCATTAAATATGATCGATCGATCCGAACACACATATGTGTGCTTAATTTATGAATAATTTACAACTAATTCAAGAAGATATACAATTTTAATGGATCATTTACCTTTTTATGAGAATATTTATAACTTCAATGAATTTTTTATAGGAATATTTACAATTTCAGTGGATTGTCCCCCCCCCCACCCCGCGCGGGGGCAAAGGGTAAGAACTCGTTTTTGCTAGGCACCAAGGCTTCTTTGACTTCTAAATCCAGAGAAGATTTCAGAACTCGGGCTAATTCCATTCGTCTTCTTAGCAGGGAGAGAAATATATTGCTTTGGATGGTTCCTGAGTTGGTGATCAAGCACAAGAAAAGAAGGGTCAACGACGGTTGTAGATTTTTTGTCCAGACCCCCTTTTGATGTTATTAGTAAAGTGCCGCAATTGCTGTTTTTCTCACTTTATTGGACTTCGGGGACTTTACGTCGGAGTACTCAGAGGGACGTCGAAAGGCGTCTGGGAGAAGATGACCCCACTAAAGATGGCAGATGGCTACAGACGGCTAGACGATTTACTCTACAAAGAATCCTTCTCAATAAAAATTCTATATGAATTGGTCCGACCAAGTAAAGAATTTATGTTAATATTTACAACTTCAATGGAATTCTTACCACAGTTATGGCAATATTTATAATTGCAATGGATTGTTTATGACATTGATGGTAANTAGATTGCTTTGGATGGTTTCTGAGTTGGTGATCAAGCACAAGAAAAGAAGGGTCAACGACGGTCGTAGATTTTTTGTCCAGACCCCCTTTTGATGTTATTAGTAAAGTGCCGCAATTGTTTTTCTCACTTTATTGGACTTCGGGGACTTTACGTCGGAGTACTCAGAGGGACGTCGAAAGGCGTTTGGGAGAAGATGACCCCACTGAAGATGGCAGATGGCTACAGACGGCTAGACGATTTACTCTACAAAGAATCCTTCTCAATAAAAATTCTATATGAATTGGTCCGACCAAGTAAAGAATTTATGTTAATATTTACAACTTCAATGGAATTCTTACCACAGTTATGGCAATATTTATAATTGCAATGGATTGTTTATGACATTGATGGTAATATTTACAACTTCAGTGGATTTTTTACCACATTTGTGTAAATAATTACTGTATTAAAGGTTTTGTTACTATAATAAAGTTAATAATTACGAGAGTTATCAATTTTTTTTTACGAGAGTTGTGAATGTTTTTTAAGAGAGTTGTACTTAATTTGTAAATAATTTATAAGTAATTGAAGAATATATACCAATTTTGTGGACAAAATTACTAGTGGAGAGCAGTATTTACTAATTGAATGGTATAATGTATGATATTTACTGGTCCGTGATCAATCATTAAATATGATTGATCGATCAGAACACACAAATGTGTGGTTAATTTATGAATAATTTACAACTAATCCAAGAAGATATACAACTTCAATGAATCATTTACCACTTTTATGGGATTATTTACAACTTCAATGAATTCTTTATGAGAATATTTACAATTTCATTAGATTGTTTACCAAATTTATGGGAATATTTACAACTTTAATGGATTGTATACCACATTTATGGCAATATTTACAAATGCAATGGAATATTTACAAATATGAAATAACATGATCGATCAATATATATTTTTGATTGTTCGAATTCACTTGCTATTTTGATCGATCATATTTGTTAATGATCGATCATTTCTCCCCAGTACCTGTATTACGGTGGATTCTTTACGAATCTAGAATAGCATGATCGATCAATATATAGTTTTGATCGATCGAATTTAGTTTCTAATTCGATCGATCAAATAGGTTAACGATTGATCTTTTCTCCCTAGTATTTTTATTACTTCTGAATCACTTTTAAAATCTGGAACAATATGATCGATCAAAATGTAGTTTGTGATCAATCAAATACTTACTACTTACTAATCTATCAATTTTTTGCACGATCGATCAGTTGGTGTGTTAATTGGTCACATTCTGAAAGTTAGGGATCGATCAGTTAGTGATTGGATCGATCATTAACATTTTGCAACTTCATGATCAATCATTTATTTTGCGATAGATCAATGTAGAGGTGTTGTTGTAGCAGAAGAATGGTTGTTCAATCCCCCTCATATTAGCAATATAAATGTGGTAGTCTGAAACTATTCGATTGATCATGTATTAGTTAGATCAATAATTATTTTTTTTTGCTAGGCGGATCCAAGTGACGTTGTTTAGTGTTTTATTCCATACCAACCAATCAGGTTGTCATAGCTAGCTACAACAGTTCCCTCCTATTTCCTCTTAATCCCGCCAAAAACCATTACCCAGCTCCCTCATCTTCTTAACATTGAGCTCACTGGTCTCCTCTTTCTATCTTCCAAAAAATCACCTCACCCCTATTCATCCGATTCCATCTTCTTTGTTCCGAATTTGGTGCCTCCCTCTGCATCACAATCCTTTTATTCCTTGCAATATGGGTTAAGTATCCCCTTTCATTATTCACAAATAGGTTTGTTACATAATAAGGTATCATAAAATTAGGTTTTAATATATGAAATGCTATTTTTTATAAATGGTATGTTTTCAGTGTTTGACATCTCAGTGTGTGTCATACTTGCAAACATTTACATACTGGTATTGATGTTATAGTTGTGAATGAATGTGTTGGTGACTGAGTGTGTTTGAGAAGGATTTCTGAATAGTTTAAAGAAGTGTATGTGTAGCATATACTTATTTATTTGACCTATAGACCATGTGTTATTTGCAGGGTAGTAGCAAGCCCTTAGACTTGGGAAGTCCAATTTGACGATATTTCTAATTTAAGATATGATTATATTGTTGAATATATTTCAAATGCATCACATTGCATACTTCATATTATGGTACATATTTCAGGGGGAAGAAGAGGTCCCAGGAATCAAATGTGAAAGGCTTGAAAGCACAACGTCCACCTGGTGCATGACTATTTTTCTAGTATGAAAAATTTGTGTATTGTAGTGTCAAATTATTTTGTGGTTAATGTTTATTTGATAATGTACCAATTTGTTGTACTTCCATTACAGTAAAGAACAAATGGAGAATATCAAAGGAAAAGCTAATAAAAAAGTTACACGCGAGGTATAATTTGTGTTACAAATAGCGAGTATTGTTTGGAAAAGTGAAATTAACAATGTCTTCCAATTGAACTTGTACTGATAAGGTGATTAAACAACTAGATGACCAATGGAGGAAGATGGCAGATAGTGAGAAACAGAAATACAGAGAAATGTCTATACATGGAAAGAGTGAATATGATCATATGAAAGATAATTCTAGGGAAATGACAGTACGGGTAAATATATAATGTCAATGTTAATTTTTATATGCATAGTTTACATGATGACATGCCCTTCTCACAACTTGGTGGCTCCTAACATCCCATGCCATCAACTCAAGAAGACGACCATTGGAATCCTACTTACAAATACAATATCCTCTGATATCAGGTTTCATACATTATCACATTTTAATTACTTTGCAAAATTCAGTACATACCAACATGATTTTGATATCCATTTTTTATTTTTTTTAATAGCAAGTGATAATTGCTTTTGATTCAATTGTGCGCGGGCAGTAGATTAATACTTCTTTAAACATTTTGGATGTGAGTACGACTACATGTACTTTGTCATTGCCTTCAGTTATTTGGTACAAACTATTCCACGATTTCATTAGCATACTTCCCTGAATACGTCTTGCAGTATTAACGTGTACACATCTGGCCACTAAAATATTCTTCGATAATCAGCCTTTTGCTCTACGGTAGCTGACCACACAATGTAGCTTTCTTAAGTTGCATGGAAGGTTCAATTTCACTACGTTGTCTTTCTTGTATACATGACAATGGCAAAATGAAGGAAGCATGTCTAAACATGTAATTATGTTGTTACAATTAATCCCACCTAATGTGCAGTTGTACAATTTATCTGCATCCTTTGCATTACGTCATTGTTAAATCAAATAAATATGAAAGAATGCACAAACCTCACATTCACTGCAACAAAACTCAAAAACTATCAAAGATCAATTTGTTTCTAACTACTACCCAATATATTTAACAACAATCCACCCAACATCTACATCACCCTTGCCAAAATGCCAAATATTACTATACAACAAAAAGATTCACCAAAAAAACACAAAACCAATGTGTCATTTGTTGATGTATTCTTTAAAGTCCTTATAAAAATAATCTAATTTTGTCTCCAGACGCTGCAACGACCCCTTTGTTTCATCCTCGAACTTTTCAAATCGGTCTTCCAACTTTTCAACCATTTGCTGAAGTGTTTGTCCAACCTCACTAATATCAACATCAGAACCACCTTGACTAGCCCTAGCTTGACTACCCACAACCTAAGACACCGCTGATGGCTGCTTCACACACTTCGCCCATTTCACACCCAGAATAGCTCCTACACTTTTATTAAGTGTACCCATACCCATTGCATTCATGGGGTATATAAAACTGTCATTCTGCTGAAATTCAACCCCACTATGCTTCAAAATCTTAGAAATTAATATTGAAAATGGAAGACATGGCCTGCAATCCTCGACAATAGATGCTCCACGAACATGGTTGAATATGTAAAGTGGTAGATCAATAATAACCCCACATTCAGCAATAGCATATAATAGTTGGGTTGTATCCTATCAAATCTCAGCAATATGCCCCATCGGATGTATATTACAGGCAACAATTCGGTTTATCATCCTATACATTGGAGTAAGGTCAATGTGAGTAACTTTGTTTTTCTCATTCTCCCAAGGGACACTCCCAATACAAATACATTGAATAACCCTCGTCATTTCAGGAGCTTGCTCCTTACTTGAATATGGAAAGACAATGAAATTTTCAGGAATGTCTAGTCTATCAATTTTTAATATATTTGAAATAAGATCAAGCGAAACAGTGATGAATATCTTCTTAACCATTGTCTTAAATGTCAGCTCATTCTCCTTCTAGTCATGAACATTTGCATAAAAATACTTAACCAGTTCAACATATGTTATATCTTCCACATTCACATCAAATAGAGGTTCTCATTTCCGAGCCCTAAGTATTTCAGGGCAATCCACACTGCCTACTAACTCATCAAGGTAAACATCACGCTCAATTAACAGAGGATGTTAACAATAAATGTATTATACCTCTTCTTAACATCTTTATCAACAAAGAGTTTGGCATTGCCAAAACTCCCCATGGCAACCACCTTCTTCCGTTTCTTCGCTTCGCCGCCTAACATCAACAAAGCTCCAATGTGTGACTTTCACTTTTCTCCGAATGAAGATTCAAAATGGAAGTAGTTCGTGTACCCGATCGATCGATTAAAGAGCTTTGGGATGGTGGTCGATTTAGGGTTTATGGAATTGGGAGATTTTGAATGGGCTTTTGTAGGATTTGGAATGGGTTTTGAATAGGTTTTGTCATATTTGGAATGGGTTTTGTAGGCGTAATTGATTTAGGGGTAATTTTGTGGGATTTGGGGGTTTATTTGGGTATCATCCGATGTTTATTTACTACAATGCCCCCCTTACAACACTTCAATTTATAACTCTTTATGGGCATTTAAGTAAATACATCATACTTGATCTATCATATTTAGTTTTGATCGATCGCAATCCCACTGCCCCTTCAACTTCACCATCTGTAACTCCATGATCGATCATTATACACAATTGATCGATCAGATGTCCCCAGTATTTATGATTTGTAACAATATGATTGATCACTATAAAATTTTGATTGATTGATTTAACTTACTACTTACTGATCTATCAGTAGGTTTACACGATCAATCAAATCTCCCCAGTATTTTTTTTTACTTCTGATTCACATTAAAAATCTGTAATAATTTGATCGATCAAATATTGTTTCGATCGATCAAATCTCCCCAGTACTTTTACTTCTAATTCACAAGACAAATCTACAATAACATGATCAATCAATTTATATATTTGATCGATCGAATTTACTAACTAATTCGATCGATCAAATTTTTTAACGATCAATCATTTCTCTCCAGTACTTTTATTACTTCTGATTCAATTCTTAATTTTGCAACAATATGATCGATCAAATACACTTATTACTTAATGATCTATTATATTTTTACACGATCGATCAGACCCACACAATACTTTTAGTATTTATGATTCAGACTACAGACCTGTCACAATATGATCAATCATCATATACATTTGATCGATCAAATTCAATACTTTTCTTTTTCCTTTTTTCACTTCATCTTACCACATCTGATCGATCAATATTTAATGATCGATCATAAATTAAACTGATAGATTCATTACGTTGACTACAAGTATATTATCCTCGTAAATTTATCCACTATGGTTATAAATATATATTTAATTTTGTACCTATCCCAATTAATTTTGTACATTGATATAGTAAATACTCAATTGCCTTTGTAGTTTGTTCCACTGATTTTCAAAATTTCTCGCTCTTGTTTTAATTATACCATTCATTTTGTTATTTTTCCATTAATATTGTTAACCTCGCAATGATTTTGTAAAAACACCTTATTGAGTCAAATAAGATCGATCATTCATATTCGTAATCGGTCAAATTATATATATATATATTTTTTTTTCCCAAAATTTCCTTTTTCTTACACCACTCCTTATCACATATTGATTGATCATATATTTATTCGATCGATCAATATATAATGATCTATCATTTGTTACATTGATCGATCCATTATGTTGACTACAACAACTATAATATCCTCGTAAATTTATCCACAATAATTGTAAATATAGCTTTACATTTGTACCTATCCCAATTATCCAATTAGTATTGTACATTTCTTACTGATGTACTAAATACTCCATTAAATTTGTAGTTGGTTTCACTGAATTTCAAAATTTCTCACTTTTGTTGTAATTATACCATTAATTTTGTTCTTTTACCTACTAATATCGTTAACATTGCAATGATTTTGCAAAAACATCTTATTGAGACACTATGATCAATCATCATATTCGTGATCGGTCAAATTATATATTTATTTATTTTTTTCAAAAATTCTATTTTCTTACACAACACCTTTCCACATAATGATCGATCATCCATTCCATAGATTATGACTCGTAAATTTTTTTAACTTTGTTGTAAATATACCTTTAATTTTATACATATTCCATTATTTTTTTACATTTCTTATCGATGTTGTAAATACACCATTACCCTTGTACTTAGTTCTACCGACTTTGTAAGAATACCATTATCTTTGTTATTTGACCCATTATTGTTGTAAATATTACAAGTAATATTGTAAATATTCCATAAACTTTGTAACTCACTCATTGATATGGTACATCTTTCATCCATCATTGTTGTACAGTATAAGTGGCAACAGGTCATTCCGATTGCCTTGTTTTTCCTTTGCACGTGTCTATTTCTGGATCATTGTGCAATATTTTTTTTAGTTTTTTGCCGCCAAAAATTTTCGGTACCAGACTGAAAATCCCCTTAAATGTACCGTAACCGTGTCCTTACATTTGGGTTAACTATCTGTCAAAGTATACTATTATCTTTAAAGGAAACTTATATATATATACCATATATATAAAACTTTACCATTGATTTTTTGAAATCATAAAATTCAAACCCGTAATTTCAATGACAAAAACTCAATAATTTCAACTAATAAATTACCATGAAAACCCTTTAAAGCAAAAAATTAACTGAACATTTGAAACGAAAATATGGGTTCAAACCGCAAAACCAAACCTTCTAAAACATTGATTAGATTTCTACATGCATGCCCTAAATAACCCCAATAACTCATACAAACATGATCCATACATTTAATTCTCCATTAAACAATAAATACCTAAGAATGGATAGTACCTCACTGTTTGCTCTCTGTCCACATGACGCAATTGAACACCGAAAGATGAAGTTTGGGTTCAAATCTTTACACAAACGAACACAAGAAAAGCTCTCTATTTTCAAAATCTCTTCCGAAGCTTCATGGTGTGTTATGAGTTGCTTTTGTCTTTGGTGAAATGTGATGATGCACAAATTAGACTTGCGCACCACCTGTCAAGTATGAGTAAATAAATGGAGTAATTAAAGTAGAAAGAAGACGAGAATTATAGTGGTTTGGTCAATGTAACTTACGTCCACTTTCTGAATAACTAGGGTCGCTTGATACTTTATTAATTCAGGAGTGCTTAGGGAGCAGAGAGTACACGCTTTGAGAGAGATAAAAGAGTTGTGCTCAAGTGAGTGTGATGATCTTGATGCTCTTGCCCCTCAGTGTTAGTGAGACTTACAATTTATAATCGTCCCCTAACAGATTAAAACGACTTAATAATTACTAAATAACTATTCTGGTGGACCTGACGACTTCTTCTCAACGGGCGAGGAGGTTGAGGTGCTTTTCATGAGACTTGGTCAAAGGATGCGGTGAGAATTGACTCTTTCCAAGGCGGCGAGGAGAAGACTCCTGGTTAGGGGTGTCCATGGGCCGGGCCGAGCTAGGCCCGCAAATTTTTTTTCTGGACCGGGCCTGAGTAGTGTAGGCCCAAGCCCTTACTCAAGTGAGTTATCGGGCAGGCGCGGGCCGGGCCAGGCCGGGCTTCGGGTAGAGGTAAGCTACCCACAGCCTAACTCGTAAGCCTATTGGGCGGGCCTGCTTACGGGTTTTTTTATATACATATTTATTTTAAAATAATGAATATTTTTATAACTTAATATTTGTATAAATTTTATTTTTAAATCAAAAGTAAAGTCAAAATGGATAAAAATAAAATAATGAATTATATCTAATAGAATGAATAAATTTCAACTAGATTGACACCTACTAACTTATCTGTGATTTGCATTAATCTACTATTTAAAACTTATATGTTTAATACATGGGAAAAAAATAATACATTATTTATAATATCTAAATTTTTAAAACTTCAAATTTCGATATTAGGAAACTTATTTCAAAGTTTCAAATTTAATGGTCTAAAAGTATAATTTTTTTTCAAAGAAATAGTGGGTAGGTGGGTTGGGCTTGACGGGCGAGCTTTTGGGCCGGGCTTCGGGCCGGATAATGGGTTTGAGGGCAAACTCAAGCCCTCTTTTTAAGGATATTGGGCTCGGGCGAGCCAACTATCAGGTTTCGAGCCTATTTTTTTCGGGCCTAGTAATGGTACCCGTGGATAACCCGGCCCATGAACACCCCTACTCCTGGTGACCCTTACTCCAAGATGGTAGATGAAGCTCTTAGATAACTTTTGCATGCCCCCTGTTGATGTAGCCCATTGACCTTGATGAGCTTGTCCAGGTGCAGATTCTTTTGGACTTGACTAGCTGGACCTCTTGGAATTGACCATTTAGACTTGTAACATGAGTTGGGTCCTTAGTCTTGTAACATGAGTTGGGGCCTTGGGCTTGACTCATTAAAATGTGCGGTGAGAAACTGTATACTAACTAAAAAGAAAAAAACATAAAAAATATATATATACATAAAACAAGAGAGGGCAAAATTGTAACTTTATGATATCAATCTGCGATTACAATGAAAGGGGATGTCAATGTAATTGTGTAAATAACAGGAGGTGTAGTGAAAATGTCAGAAATAATAAAGGGTGTCAGTGTAATTTACCCTTTCCTTTTTAATTTTTATGCTTGTTAACTACCAAAGTTCGGGTTGAGTTGTTGAGTCCCAAACGGTGCCGCCATTGATTACAGTCACCAAAACAGGTCGAAACCATTTGTCCTTTCTAGGGTTCCAGTTCCGGGGAAGAGAGAGAGAAGCAAAGAATGAGTAGGTTAATCTCCTTTCTGAAGAGGAATCCAGCATCACCAGTATCGAGGTAACCCCTGTCGCTGCTCTCCATCAAATTCTCTCTCTCTCTCTCTCTACTATAAATTGTTGAAATAATGACATTTGAGGCACAGACATTGATATATCGTACATTTGTGGTGTTTACTGAATTATAATTGTAAATGATCTCTAACTCACATACCCGATTACTTGAAATGAAATCGGCTTATTTGTTAAGCAGTTCGGCGAAGTCGGTGGAGGAAGGGACTACCAGATCATGGGGTGTTCGTAAGGTGGTGTCGGGCGCCTTGATTTGTCTAATGGGTGGTGTCGCTTTGAGTGCTCTCGATGACCTTGCCATCTATCATGGCTGTAGCAGGTAAATTTAGAATTATATTTGACAGCCATGCCTATTTGTCAATGAAATCGATGTAGTTGTTTGATAGGACGGTGGAATTGATGATGACGAATTTCCAACAATAATGAACAACTTGGGTTAATAATCTAGTTTGCTAGTATTCAATATAAGTGCTATTTGGTCCCTGAAAATGATTTAAGCCATCAGATTCATATTTGGGCTTCTCGTACCTTTTCTGCTCTTTTATATATGCAAATGGTATTGAACATAAGAAGTTCTGTTGTGTCTATGAGGCCATAGTGTTGTTCTATCATATCTCGTTGATTCTGTCTGTGCTAGAATTCATATTTTTGGTTATCTTTCTTTGTGTTTGAGCCGCTTATCTAAATTCTAACTGCTTGAATAAAATAGAGACGTCATTCAGGCAAACTATATGAGATATTTTCATATTCGCTGGCTCCAACCAAATAGCTTGGGTGGAGATCCTAATCTTACATGTAAACTTGAGAGGCCCAAGAAAAGGGATATGGGGTAGAATTCTTCTGCCTGCAGCCTTCTATGCCCTATCTCACATGTGGCTTGGGATCACGTATACATGTACGGATGGACACACAGTACCGAACAGACAGAGAAGATGCAAACCAAGAATGAATCTAAATGGATTAATGACTTAGCCCTTTGACCACCCAAGACCTTGTTTTGGTACTATGTTCGATGTGTCCAACTCAAAACTTGTTATTTATGGATGGAGAGGCTCCTAAACCTTACATGTGACTTTGTGAGGCCATAAAATGGGATGTGGTACTCAATTTGCCTCTGCTATATATATATTACAATTAATCAATGCTATTTCAACCATCACTCTTGTTGGTGGCCATAGTAGAACTATCAAAGTTTTTGTCTTGCCTTGGTGTGCCTCTCTATCTACATGAGGCTACCTTCATTCATATTTCTTTCTTTCTGTTTTTTTTTTTTTTTTATTTTCTAATTTAGGCGAGGGTTAGATTTTACACCTTTATTACTCACCTCTATTTTAAAGAGTTTAATAATTAGTATCAATCTTTGTCATTTGTGCAAACAAATAGAAGATTAAGCTATGGGGTTTGTGTGTGTAAGAGATTGGAGGAAGCTGCTCAAAGATATTTTCTAATCTGATGTATCCCATCTTTCGATAGACGGATAGAGAAAGCTAGGGAGAACATGAAGAAGATGTAATCCTATTCTATGTCTGACAGCTTAATTTTAGTGGCAGTGGAAGTTGAAACTGATATCAGTGAGTTGCATGCACGTTTTAATTTTATTCTTGTTGTTGTTACTGTTCTTGCAGCAAAGCCATTGAGAAAGCCAGTAAGAACAAGGCAATGATAGATGCTATTGGGGAGCCTATTGTTAGAGGTCCTTGGTACAATGCATCACTTGCAGTAGCTCACAAGAGGCATTCTGTATCTTGTACATTTCCTGTTTCTGGACCGCAAGGCACTGGAATCTTTCAGTTGAGGGCAGTTCGTAATGGAGGTTGGTACTATATTTGTGTAGCTTTGTGTGGATTTCTCTTTCTTTTCTTCCTCCTTAAGTTCTTTCATACCTACAACCACTCATGATTATATGCCCAAAACTTCAGCACCATACAAACGATATTGATCTCTGCCTTAATGGTCCTTAGATCCACTAGGCTGTCTGGATTTGGTTTGTTGGGAAGTCTCAAGAGTCCCGGAAAGATAATTTTGGTGAGATGAATGTTATCACCATCTTCATTGAACCCAGAGAAAGAAAAGGGAAACGAACAACAAAAAGAAGTTATAAATTGCACCCCGTTGACTTAAAAAATTGATTCTGCATTCATAACCTGCATCGATGTTGTGAACAGGTGACACTTGGTTTTCATTTTTGCGGCCCCGTGACTGGGATATCCTTATAATGGAAGCTCTCCTCCATGTTCCTGGAAATGAAGAGAAGCAGCAAACATTTAGAATTAGTCTCGCAGACGACCTCCCTGATCCAGCCTGCAAGACATGCATCGATCACCAGTCACCGAAAGCAGAGGAATCAGAGAAGAAAAATGAATCTCAAGCTAGTTAGTACCTGAGAATTTTAGTTTATTTTGGTCGTTTCATACAAGTGTTCAATCCTCAAAACCATTACATAGTAAGTCGGATGAGCTCCAAATTTGCTTTTCTCACTGTGAATAAATTTTGCTGGAGGTTTTCGAATGCTTACAGGTCGTGTTTGGATGATCATGAGGGGAGATTGGATTGGTATTAAGAAATCCCTTCAAATCCAACCAAGAGATTTTTACTTGGGATTTAATTGTAAATTCAATTCAATTCTATGTTTGGTAGGTGACTGTAATGTCCGATTTCTCGGACCCTTTACTTGATTAAATCAATCAATCACAATAAATCACAAATATCTCCGAATACGGGGACAGAGTTCTAATTAACTTAATAAATTTATAATCACAATTTTGATCTCCAAATAACAATAAAAATAATCTACTTATTATAAAAACAAATTTGTTTAAATTATGTATCACCACCACAATAAACCTACAAAGTTAAAAATTGTATAAAGACTCGTACATCTTCAATTCATCAAATATCAATTTTGGTTATTTCCTTTGAGATTATCTTGAAAAAAAATATTAAAAGCGGAGAAGTATACAATATGACAGGAAATAATATGTTCAACAAGAAAAATACGAATGATCAAATACCAAATAATTCAGACGATAAGAATCATGGATAACGAAATCAAGAATCACATTGGACAAGTCACGTAACTCAACTGCTATCAAACATAGTTTCATACTCGACTCCTCATGGTGACATAACAAGTAACACTTTGACATTTAAATTTCATACTCATATTGAACTATTACAGCCCGCAGGGTTGTAATCACAATCGCACCCCTTAGGGTCATAATCACATTTTATCAATTATGCCTCAAGTACACTTTGTACATGTACCAATCAATCTCAGAGTATTTAGTCCAACGTACAAATTAACTGATAAAATTGTCAGAATTTTGATCAATTAGAATAATCAATAAGAATATAAATTTCAGATAATTAAATGACACTCTTTGAAAAGAGATTTAAAATATGGAATCATATTATATACTTCCTCGTATTTCAAAATCATTAATAACTTCAATAAATAAGAAATTCGAAGTACCTCAAACAAGACACTTCAATTTGGTAATAATCAAAACTAAAATTTACTATTTAATTTTTTATCCCAAAATCTCATAAATTTCTCTCTCCCTTCATCTCTTTCTCTCTCTCTTCTTTTTTTTTTTCTTTTCCTCATGCTTGCTCATTATCTCAAAGGGTATTTATAGCCAATTTGTTGCCTGGCCTCCAAGGCTTTGACGTCACTTGTTGGTGTCATTTGGTGATGCATACATTGCATCACAAGACACTTGTCAAAATTTCTTTTTTTTTTTTTTTTCCCAAAATCTTAACACGACACATATTCATCAGATTTGTATATTAACACTTTAAACATTTAATTTTTAAAATGTTATTCAACTTCAAACGTCCTATAATATAGTTATTTGACTCATTTTCACACTAAAAATTTATATTTCAAATCCATTTATTTATTTGAATTTTCTTTTTAAAAAATAACTCTCAATTATACAAAATCATAATTAACAACCTAATTATCAAGTTAGCAATTAATTCATTTTTTACGGGTTAACACAGTGACATAAATAAATATGGGGTCTATGAATTCATGTTAAACTATATTACTTAATTTATCAAGATGTCTATTATTAGGTGAATAGAAGAATAAATTTTGGGATAAATAGTCTTTTTTTCTTCAAATCTAATTTTTCACTTTTGAAACCTACCCTCCATAGTTTTCATCAAACTCATACTTGATTTTTAATGTACTATTTATTGTGGGTAGGAATATGAATTTCGGATTTAAAAATTCTAATTAAACATAATATTAAGTGGTCTATCAAACTATTTTTCTTAAATTCCACCCAAATCTGATAAACAAACAGAAAATATATGACCCGTTTATCATCATGCCTGTTTATTCATATGCATTTTTGTTTCTGAAAATTGTTATTGATCTTATGTTTGCTCCCTCCATGTACTACGAGTTATTCCACTAATGCTTAACTGCTGAGAGTCAGGCGTTAGATGATTATCATTCTTCCTTGAGTGATTCCACTAAAGCACTGGCAGTCTACACTTCATTGGCCGAGTCTCGTGGGAAAAAGGTAGGTCGGGGTGAAATCTCTTTAAATACACTCCGTTTGGTACGATGAAAAAACAAAAGGATGAAAAGTTAAAAAGATTGAAGGATAAAAAGTTAAAAAGATTGAAGGATAAAAAGTTGGAAGAATAAATAAAACATCATGTTTAATATGGAATGATGAAAAAATGGATAGATTAACTTTCTTTCATACTCACCAAAATCAATTCCTCCAAAATCAGAAGGAAAGTAGATGAAAAGTTAATTATTTGTATTAAGATGTATCTTATTTGTCTATATATTATGAATACATTAATATCATATAAAAATATAATGATAAAATATGCATTTATATATATCTATATATATATTTTTAAAAAAATTAACAATAAAATAATTAAAAAATAAAAATAAAAAAAATTATTTTAACTAGAGATGAAAATTTTCAACTCAACACAAATCTGACACGACATAACTCGATTGTCACCCGTAATCTTTGCCGGCACAAAACAAAAAATTAAAAAAAAAGGAATGAAAGTGTATCATACCTACTTTTCATCCTTAAAGAATAGAAAGTGTATCTCTCCTATTTTTCATCTCTTCTACTTTTCATCTTCTCTACTAAACGGAACATTATTTAAGTAAGACTTATTATTAATAAGAGAATCTTTTACTCATTAATAATAGATGATCATCAAGAAAAGAATAAAGATAAAATACTTCAGAATTCATATAAGAGCAATGTTATAAGGATTTAATTTGGAGATTATCAGAGACTTAATTCAATGAAATTATTTGATTAATTGTGAATTATAATATTAAATGAAGTATTGACAATCTCTTGGGGGCCAGATTAAGAAAAATTTATCTTTCATGAATACTTTTGTTCTGGTGTGAATGATTTGCCTTTAACTAGACAAGAAAATGGATTAATCGAGATGTACGTAAATTAATCCGAATATCACTAATCTTTGAAAAAAAAAATGAAAGTCATTTCAATCCCAATAATTATATTAAATTACATACCTATGTTAGATCTAAAATCACATTTTTTATCCCTACAATGTATCTATTTGATGATTCCGATGTATGACTTGTTCCAACCCACCTATTTGAAGATAAGTGATTCAGTATCCTTAGTAGGCGCCTCTCTAAAAACTTAGAAAAAAATATTTGTGATATTATAGTATTAGTCTATTTAGCTATAATTGATTGGAAAAAAAAAAAAAATTAAACTTGAGTTTCTCTTTAGAAGTTCTTTTATTTTTAAATTATTTAATTCATTAGCTAGATGCGAGACATGATGTTGTTGGTGAGAGAAATACATCTAACAAAATTTTAAAATAATTTTTTAATGAAAATTATTATTATTACTTTACATAAACTTCCTTTGATGTTTGTACTTATTATTATTATACTACATCCTTATAATTTTAGAAATGGTAAAGGCTATGGTACTATCGTACTAAAACATATAATTTTTTAAGATTAAATTATAATTTTTTTGAGATATAAATTACAATTTTAGAGATTATGATTAATTATGGATGCTATAGATTGATACTGAGAATTTATGATCAATTATGAATGTATGTGATCAATCATGATATNGGCCAGATTAAGAAAAATTTATCTTTCATGAATACTTTTGTTCTGGTGTGAATGATTTGCCTTTAACTAGACAAGAAAATGGATTAATCGAGATGTACGTAAATTAATCCGAATATCACTAATCTTTGAAAAAAAAAATGAAAGTCATTTCAATCCCAATAATTATATTAAATTACATACCTATGTTAGATCTAAAATCACATTTTTTATCCCTACAATGTATCTATTTGATGATTCCGATGTATGACTTGTTCCAACCCACCTATTTGAAGATAAGTGATTCAGTATCCTTAGTAGGCGCCTCTCTAAAAACTTAGAAAAAAATATTTGTGATATTATAGTATTAGTCTATTTAGCTATAATTGATTGGAAAAAAAAAAAAAATTAAACTTGAGTTTCTCTTTAGAAGTTCTTTTATTTTTAAATTATTTAATTCATTAGCTAGATGCGAGACATGATGTTGTTGGTGAGAGAAATACATCTAACAAAATTTTAAAATAATTTTTTAATGAAAATTATTATTATTACTTTACATAAACTTCCTTTGATGTTTGTACTTATTATTATTATACTACATCCTTATAATTTTAGAAATGGTAAAGGCTATGGTACTATCGTACTAAAACATATAATTTTTTAAGATTAAATTATAATTTTTTTGAGATATAAATTACAATTTTAGAGATTATGATTAATTATGGATGCTATAGATTGATACTGAGAATTTATGATCAATTATGAATGTATGTGATCAATCATGATATTCTCTGAAGTAATTATACCTTCTTATAATAAAATTATAATTTTATTATAAAAAATAGTAAATCATAGACTTTCCTTTAGAAATTAGGGTTTGTTATCCTGACTCAAATTTAAATTTGAATAAAAAAATTTAAAAAATTGTTTCAACTCTTTTGTATCAAATTTATACTAAATCAAGAGAGACTTTTTTTTTTATTTATATTAAAAGAGATTCAAATCTTTATCCAAATTATTAATGATAAAATTTACCTTTGTTTAAAAATTTAATAGTTATTTTGAATTTATTCTTATTTAAATTTAAGTTTGTTCTACTTTAAATTTTAGTTTATGTATTAAATTTTTTATTTAAATATTAATTTATATTTAAATAAAAATTTGAGTCATAATTAGTGATATAGTTAGAGTAACCGATTAATGGTCACCGAAGTTGCCAAAAGATATTTTGATTTTTGGGAGGGAGAGGGCGAGGGGGGTTCTGAGCTGTCCCAGACAACGTGTAACTTTAGCGAACCCCCATTGCTTAGCTTTCCCGCGTTCCACGTGGCCCTACTTTCAACGGCGGTATTGAGCCCTGTGAGACCTTTTTGATGGTCCCCACATCTTGTCGGCTTGTCGTTTGGACCAAAGCGTTCTTTGTCCCTGCCCTCTCGTCTCGTGTCTCATACATTGTGTTAATTTCTCGTGATAAATTTCTTATTATCGCTAGGACCTTTTAGGTTGAGCTTTGGATCGAGCTGGGCTGGGCTAACATAAACCCTGGGTCCAGCTGAGGCCCAGTCTTAAGATACTTGCTAATGGCATATTTTTATGAGAAAATATTATTTTAATTTAATTTGTGAAACTTATTTGTTGACTTAATGCGTCACATTCATTAAATTAATAGTGAGTTCTAATTAGTATATTGGATTTCATTGTCAATTAAATAGCAATAATTCATTAAATTAATAAATTAAATTCAAATAACGTTAATCATTTGTGTGCCACAATGTTGGAGATGCACATCTTATTTTGAGTTTTTTTAGATAAATGGGATGAAATAACCCCAACAAAAGTTAAATTTAAACCTTGCTACGTATTAGTACAACTAAATTGTGCATCAATCAAATCAATTCTAGTACAAATATGACACAAGAAGTAGTCTATGGTACTGAAAAATATTTTGGGCACCATACTAATATTTATGGATATTTTTATTATTGTTGTATATATTTTTATCACTAATAAAATTATAAAATAGTAATTAGTACTCCCTCCGTTCCTAAATATTTATCGTCTAATATGAGTAAAAAATAATTATACAAGACTAAAATATCTTTATTCAATACGTATTGAGAAGGAAAGGAATATGAAAGACACTTAACCTCCATCTAATTTAATGCATTGAAAAGTTAAGGGAAATTTGTAAGAAAAAATATTAATTATGGTTTGGTTTCATTAAACGACAGATATTATAGAACAAAAAAAATTGTGTAAAACGACAGATATTTAGGAACGGAGGAAGTATCTAATTATAATTTTTTTTTTAAATAAAATTTTAATTTTAATTTTAATTTTATTTTAATAAATAATACAATAAAACATAAATTTTAGTTATAAATTTAAAATATTTGATATTCTATCTTGATCAGAGTATTTTTGGTCTAAGTATAATATTTTAAACTTAAGAGATTTAAGTATTATATACATACAAATTTTAGGGGATCTAATTATAATTTATTAACGGATATATTTATAGCAAAAGTCTAAGTATTACACGTATATAAATTTCAAGCGGTCTGTATATAATATTTCAAATGTCAGGAGATCTGAGTGATTAGTAGTTTGTTTGGTATGGTGGAAAAATGGATGGAAGGAAAGTGGGAGAGAAAAAATGGAAGGGAAGGAAAATGTTTCCATTGTTTAGTATCAAAGGAAAGTAGGAGGGAGTGGAAAGTGGGAGGGGAACTCTATCCTTCCCGCCTACCAAATATTTTCAGCCCAAATTTGGGCAAAAAAGTGGAGGAAAAAAGTGAAGGCAAAACAATAATTTTTAAGTTGACTTTTTTACCCTTTACTTATTGGAGTGAAAAAATATATTTAGAGATAGAATTGTAAATTGGGCATATATGTTTTTTCTTTCCTTTCATTTTTCATTTAATACAAAATAATATAAAATATATTTCTCTTACTTTTCATTCCTCCTACCAAACAAAAAAGAAGAAAAATAACTTTCTTTCCTTCATGGATGGAAACCTTATTCTTTTCACTTTTTCCTTCCTTCATTCTTTCCATCCTTCATACTAAACAGATTATAAGTGATAAGCCTCAAGAAGTCCAGATGTAATTATACCTAAAATATTTTAAATAAATGTGCAACTATAATATCAAAAAATTATTATTTGATATCATATTAACTTATCTCTATTAATCAAAATGTAGTAAGTGTAAAATATTTTGTATAAACAACAAAATCGAAACAATATCTATAATTAAAAACTATTATCTATATAATAAATTAGCTTACAATTTAAATTTCAAAAGATAAACAAAAATGACTTTTGCTTTTTGTGATACATATCACTTTAAATTTTACTTTAAAGTTAATTTAACTGCTAACATTAACACCCTAAATTTAATAGGAAAAATAAGCACCTAAGGGTGTGTTTGGAGTGACTTTTTTAGAAATTATTTCTCTTAACTACTTTAAACAAAAATAGTGTTTGAAACCGCTCCACCACTATCTCTACCACCATCACCATCGTCGCTGTAATCGCCACCACCACCACTACCACTACTGCCCGTCGTCGCCACCTCCATCATCACCACCGTTGTTGCCACCTTCATCATCACTGTTGTTACCACCACCACCACCCACCCTTGCCGTCGTTATCGCTACCATCACCACCATCGTCACCATTGTTGTCACCACCACAGTCATTGTCACCTACCACAACCATCACTGCGTCTGCCTCCCACCACCTCTCACTCCTATTACAAATTGATGCTTAAATTTATTTATCTCTTCTTTATGTTTGTGATTTAATTTTGGATATGAATACAAATATATTTATTATTTATTATTTTATATCTTTAGACACAAAGAATAACTAATTATATTATATTAAAATATATTTTTTGATACTATAATCTAACCTTGTCATCTAACTTCCAAAGACAAAGCGTGTTGAGCTAAATTTGGAAGAGAGAGAATTTGGATTTTGGACTACTAGGCCGTTTATTCAAGACAGTATCATGAGCCGAGAAAACCAAATTATCAAAGGGAATGATGTTGTGGGGGGACGGGGTAGGAGAAATCGATGATGGAGTGAGGGGCAAATAGCAGACAGGTGGGTCCCCCACCATCATCGCTCCCTCCACCACCAACACCAAACCCACCTTTGGTTCTCCAGTTAATCTTCCCCCAAACCTACCAAACCTTCACTTTCCTATCACCGATCTGTTTTGTTGCTATCACTTTGTCTTCTTTGTCCTAATTCTTTTGAATCCAACTTGTTTTCCAATTTGTCATGGAAGGTCCTCTGGGTTTGTTGGGTTCTGGTGGCGGTGGCGGTGGTGGAATAGTGTCTTATGGTGGCTCAGCTAATGGGTCGATGTCTACGGTGTCTAAAGAAGAGAACTTGGTCTTGTCCTGTGAGGTTTCTTCCTCATACCCAGATGAGTCTGAGCTTGAGTTGGGTCTTGGGTTGAGTCTTGGTGGTATTGCGAAGTGCAAAACAGCTACAAGGGGTCAATATGCTAGGATCTTGACGGCCAGAGATTTTCCTTCTATGGTCTCCAAGTCTTCACCACCATCTTCATCATCGTCCTCATCTGTGACCAAAGCTAATGCTTCTTCAGCTGGTACCAAGAGAACCGCTGATTCTTTTTCGCCTCCCCGTAATGGTTCCAGGTAACCACCTTTTTAACTTTCATTCTTGTGTTCTCAGATTTTCATTTTCTTCTTACCCCTTAACCCTTGTTTGAATTCATGTATGGGTATTAAGTAAGTGGCTTTGCTCTCTGATTTTCAGTGATAATTTCTTTTCCTGCAATAATTATACATGATCATGATGTGTTTATCTGGCCAATGTGAAAATAATTGGATGGGTTTCCACATATTTGTTTGATTTTCCAATGTTTTTGGCCAAGCCTATAATTTTTACTCTGATCAGAACCTCCCTGCTTTTGTATCTTTTCTATCATTCAGTTCTTGATTTTTGAGGAATTTGATGCTTGAGATGAAATGTTTTTTGTTGCCTTCTGTGGGTTTCTTTTCTTTATTCTCTGTTTAGTTCCCATCTTATATGTGGTGGAATCTACAACAAGTGAACAGCCACAAAACCAAGATTTACAGGAAATAACTATAATAAAAACCCTTCAGTTTTGTATGAAGGCAAAAGTATGGCACGCTATATGGATTTCTTGGAGACTTGTAATGAATTGATCTAGATATAAGATGGCCAGAAAGAGGAAAGAGGAAAGAAGACTGGAACATTTTTTTTCTGATAATTCAGCTACCTGGTAAATCCAAAGGAAGCTCTAAGGATTACACATTTATTTTTTCCAATTGTTTAGAATCGCGGTTCTTTAACTCTGGCTAGGGAACCATTTGATTGATGTATGAGATTATTAAGAATGAGGGCTTTGATGGGCATAGCACAAAATGGTGCTGTGTGCAATTATATAACTCCATTTGTTAAGACATAATTATAAGAATGATATGACACTTGTTGGAAAAATTTCCCCCCCTGCCATAGTAGTGTTGCATTATTGGTTGTTGATGGTAGGGATTCTTTGATATTGCTTCATCTAAGGTACTATTTCTGATATTTTGAGGTAGCAAAAATGTTGGTATGGCACTGCCTTCTGTTCCCTCATTTGGAGATGACATGACGTGGAATTGTTGGCTTGGCCGCTTGACCTTGTTTACTTGGCTAATGGTGTTGGCTATTGTAGCATCTTAATTTTGGTGATTGATAGTTTTTGGATCTATATCCTTAGGTGTTGGCATCTTTTTTGATATCCTTTTTGTTTCCTGGCATCAGAGCCTGGTTACCAACTAATTATCTGGATGCTCTTCGTCAATGTGCCTTGCTCAATACTACTTTCTTAAAAAATAAGTTCTGGTATGTGTTTTATGCAGGTGTTGATTTTGGGGGTATGTCGTGAACATTTTTTTGGTTGATGCAACTATATTTTTAGGTACTTAATAATGTCTGTGTTTGTTATCCAATAAAATTGACGATTTTCCATTATCATGTAATTTTCTTGAAGCAGTCAGGTTGTGGGGTGGCCGCCTATAAGAGCTTATCGAATGAATAGCTTGGTTAATCAGGCAAAATCACCAACTTTTGAAGAATTTAACTCAACAGCTGATAAAAATAAATGTCAGAATATTGTGGTGGAGAAAACTAACAATGTAAGCAACACAAACAATGACGATGCTGAAGGGAGGGGGCATCCCAAGACTTCCCTGTTTGTGAAGGTGAATATGGATGGAATTCCGATTGGAAGGAAGGTGGATCTGAATGCTCATAGCTGCTACGAGACCTTAGCACAAACGTTGCATGACATGTTCTGTAAACCAACCACTTCTGTTGGGTCACGACGTAAGTTGGACATGCTTTTTAAAATGTGATTTTTTCGATGTTCTAGTTGACTCTGAATTTGTCTTTTGCCCTTCTTATGGTTTAGCATATAGCCAGCTTTGCTAATTATAAAAGCTGGCTCATTTGTTTTCCTTTTGTTGTAAGGTTATATTCTAAAGCACTAACCAGAAGAAACACCTGCTCAGCTTTCTTGTATGTTGCATATGATTGCAGATTAATTTTGAAAATTGTTGAACACATTGATGGATTTGTAAGATAGCAGGCAAATGATCAAAACATTAGGGTGTGGCATTATTGAGTTGTTAATGTGAAAGTTTTTGAAGGTTCATTTGAAATTCACTTTCTTGATTTAAATAACATGATAGAAAATTTCTTTTAGCCAGCCTTTGATATCAATGTTTCTTTGTTTGATGACTGATGGTGATGTCAACCATATGGTCAGGATCAAACGTAGAGGAGCATGACATAATGAAAGAAGCAACAGGCCCTGAAAAATTGTTGAATGGATCATCTGAGTTTGTGCTTACTTATGAAGACAAGGATGGAGATTGGATGCTTGTTGGTGATGTTCCTTGGGGGTATGTCTCTTCCATTAATTACAATAAACAAACTTTCCCTATTTATTTCGATGGAGAATCAACCACTGGTACGCTTTTCACTGTGCTGTCAATCACATAACTTTATTTTTGAGTGGATTTTCCTATCTANTTGACGGAGAATCAACCACTGGTACACTTTTCACTGTGCTGTCAATCACATAACTTTATTTTTGAGTGGATTTTCCTATCTAGTCACACACAGAGGCACATAGTCTTTATCCCTAGGCTTGGACACATGATGCACACTGGTGTTTCTTGCTTGAACCAATGAAAGATTGGAATGGTCGGATGGTTTTAGACCCGATGACCATCATGCTTCGGTAGCATTATATTCATGAGGTTTCCTCCCAGTGGAGGACTACAGCTGAATTATATGGATCAAAATCCTAAATTCATGTTAATAATGTATTGTAGATTCTTGTTTTAAAAGAAATCGTATATTTCTTAAGTAGATACTGTTAGTGTTAGTTCTGACTCACTCTATTTATAAGAACATGCAAATCGTGTGTAATTCCAAATGGTCGGTAATTTTTCTAAGGTGTTGAGATAAATTCTAAGCATTTTTCCTCCCTGGGAGAAGTGTCACCTAAGCTACTATGTTGTAATTCTTCTTTTAAATGCACTGGAATTTAAACTCTTCATATTAATTTTAAATAAAAGTAGCAAAATAACAAATGAAAATTTTGAACCTCGTCTGTGTATGCTTATTATCTTGTGCACCGGCTGAAAGAATTTCTGTCTGATCACCCTCATTAAATAGTTCATGGTTGTATGTTATATGCAATGATTATAAGAATTGATAATTTGGATGACTGAGAATTGCTCTCCATGATAAGTTTACAGGGTGAGGGTTAGATGTAGTTTATTACTTAATATCATTCATAGTGTTTAAAAACCACTTAACAACCTTAGGGATGATTCTTTCAGATATTTATCAAATTCATGGTCTTTGTCCCTACCCTTCTTTTCAGTGGTAGGAAAAAGTGCCTGTTCTCTTGTGCTATGTAATCTTAGAATCAGATTCTGTGAGGTAAAAAATGTGAGTCTGAAATGGTGTTCTGACAGCGACTTTGCTTTTATATTTTGTATGCAGGATGTTTCTTTGCTCCGTGAAGCGGCTCAGAATCATGAGGACATCTGAAGCTAATGGATTTGGTATATATAATTATATGTCCACCTCACAATGTTTTTACACTTAAGGACCGACATATACACCTTGTTACATCAAATTTATTGTTTTTTGCATTGTAGCTCCAAGACTTCAAGAAAGGAAGGGGAGACAAAGACTTCAATCTTAAGCCCTTATAGAAGATGAAAACATACCCTCAGTTGAAGCATGATATACAAGAGGAGATACTGGATGGTCAAATCTTTTTGTTGAAGTAATGATAGGTCTGAAGTGGCCCACTGGTTTTTTTTTTGTCATCTCTATATCTTTCTTTATTTTCTCTCGTGTTGTATACCCGCTTTCCATGAGAGTCCTCTTGTCTGGAAGCCACAAGTGTCCTAGTTATATCTGTCATATACCCATGCATACTTCACTGGTATTGTGAGTATAGGAGTGCGTAGGGTTTTAAGTTTGCTGTTACCTCACAGTGGATTTTTTTTTCTAATCCGTCAAATGGAAATAAGTTAGTCTGGTTTCTATGTATGAAACTGTCCATTACAGTGCTGTTACATGCTGATGTTTTCCTCTTCTTCATATTTCAATATTATTTGTGAGAATATCTGATATACCTACTTGATGAGCTTGGTGGGGCTTCATATACCTAATTTTAGTTTTTCTCGGTTCTGACCCTTTTATCGCATTGCCAAGTAATTACCTAATGTGCTTATCTATTTAATTTTTGTATAGGGGAGGCGCGGGAAAAGTTGATAATCGTAAGGTAACTCGATGATATGCCCCGCAATGTGATGTGCACTACATTCTTGAATGATTTTCTTTTTTCAAATAATAGAGGCAAGGGAAGCGTCATTATGATTATTAGTTGTCAATTTTGCTAGAGTGGTGTTGGTAAAGAACCTTCCTTCTCTATGGTTGGTTATTAATGAATCTTTCTTGTCGTGTGGTACCCTATAGATGAGTAATGGGAAGCTCGCCATAAAAGCAAGGAAGCAAAATGTAACGGAGGACATTGAGAGTGCTATTCTTATTTCTTATTAGTGGTCTTGCTTTAGTAATAGCTTGATTTTCTTGAGTAAGAGATAGATATGCTAGTCCATGTTTGAGGAAGCAGGATAGAAAGGGCTTCCTTTAAAGAAGCTTTGTTGAGAGAATAGAAGTTTGCCGCGAACGGGCCCTAAGAAAGAAAAGGTAAACGATTTACTTTGGACTGTAAATTATTCACTTTGTTAGAAAAATGTTAATATAAAATTCAATATCACAGAAAATGCAGGGTTGGACCATATGATTTTAATGCAACCACCTAAATATGATCATTTTAATGATGTTGGAAGTCAGTGTTCATTGGAGTTGGATATGCAGGAAACCATGGAAAACTTAATGGTATGATGCCCATCTAGTATCAATAGATTGGAGATTGTTGAAATCACATCAACCTGGCTTCTGGAGTGTGGGAACCCCAATGCTTGTGAAACATTGATGCTTCTATTTTTGGTGAGATGACTTTTCAGTTATAGTGGCTTGTTTGTATTGAGAATAAAAGATCGGTCTTGGAATCGATCTTTTTCATAGGAAAATTGATATGTCAAATTTGACATAATGCCAAATTCAATTTTGCTAATTAGACATTTTAGATGCCTGCCGGAGAGGAAGCAACTGCCAAATGTTGTCGTTGAGAGCTCCAGGTGTCATTTGAAATGCTGGTTGGAGTTATTCTAAGATTTCATGCATTTATACATTTATATCCTTACGAGACTCTACAGTGACAGGAGACTCGTTCATGTAATGTGTACGATTGAATTGAATTGCTGATGTATTGAATCAGAAAGTATGGGAATCATGAGACAAGATTTGAAAGACATCTCAACTCTTCTACTACTAAGTACAATGGAGTTGTATGTTCTTGATTAAGAATGCTTATATCATTTTTTAAAAAGAATGGAACATCATTTGCAAAAAGAACCCATAGACCCCCATAGTCTAGACACAACCAACTTTAACTTAACAAATTATAACAAGGAACTTTTAGATACAAAACGAGACTGAAGCAAAATGATGGCACAAGAAGAACACAATTTTGTTTTCACAGGCCATTTACAGGTGATGTGCTAAATACTGGCTTATCTTTGCTGGTGGGAGTCCCACCATTGTTGCTGCTGCTGCTGCTTTTTCTCCGAGGCTTGGCTTCTCCAAGCATCGTTATGACATCCCTCATGGAAGGTCTGTCCTTAGGGAGCTTGGCTGTACAAAGAAGTGCTATCCGAAGGACCAAAAGCATCTCCTCTTGGACGTGTTTGGTCCCTCCGACACTCAGGTCTAATGCTTCTTCTAAAGCTTTGTTGTCTCTAATCTTCATTCGAATCCATTCAACTATATCAACAGATTCTCCAAATACAGGATCTAGTGGCCGTTTTCCAGTTAGAAGTTCCATGAGAACGACCCCGTAGCTGTAAATATCACTCTTCTCATCAACTTTCAATGTGTACCCGTATTCTGCAAAGAGACCATTCAGATACATGCTTGTTAGATGTAAATCAAATAATCAATATCATAGAGATCTCTTCCAAACCATTCTTGATTTGAATTAATGGCACTATGTAATTGAATGATCATTAAGTAGTGATTTAATAAACCAATTTCCCTGTATCTGTTGCAGATTGTAGATTAAAATTAAAAACTCACCTGGGGCTATGTATCCATAAGATCCAGCAACCATCGAAACTGTCTCATTCTTCTTAATCATCATCCTGGCCAACCCAAAATCAGCAATCCTTGCTTCAAGATTTGTATCGAGCAGTATGTTATTTGACTTGACATCCCGGTGTATCACAGGTGGGCGACAGTCATGGTGGAGGTAAGCAAGTCCTTGCGCCACTCCAACCGCAATGTTGTATCGCGAAACCCAGTCCACAAGCAACCTCCCTCCTTGTTTGCCATGTAAAGCTTCCCCTAGGCTGCCATTCTGCATATACTCATAAATTATCATTGCATTGGTGTCATTGTGAAGAAATCCAATCAGCCTTACAATGTTTCGATGCCTCAACCTCCCCAGGAGATTTACCTCCCCTACAAGATCATCATTGCTTCCCATTTCAATATCAGTTCCTGATCTCCAGAGTTTCTTTACTGCCACAACTGTATTTAGCCGTTCCATCTCGGCCTTATACACAATCCCTGTTGCTCCCATTCCAATCACATTTGATTCCTTGGTGCAAGCCAAAATGTCATTGCTAGTGAAACAAAGCCTCTGGAATGCCATTAATCTCCAAGGCCACTCTCCACTGCTCATTTCGAACCTTTCCTCAAAGCAACTTCCATTTGCATACCACCTTTTGTATAGAGATTGAGCCCCAAACACAGATATTACAAGAGCTAGAAGCGTCGAAACTCCAATGATCCATCCGGCAATGATGTGTTTCGCATGCACACTCCTCTGCTTCGATGTGTATGCTGAATTTTGGGAGCATGGAGGTAGCACCCCACCACAGAGACCGGCATTTCCCCCCAGATCATCTGGGTTAATTGTTCTGAGCATGCCATTTTCAGGCACAGGACCCTCGAGCCTATTGTAAGAAACATTGAGCATTTCTAAGGCTGGTGAGTTCCCAAAATTCTCAGGGATCCCTCCAGTGAGAGAATTATTTGACAGATCAAGAATTGCTAATGTGGGCATCATTGCAATCGCTCTTGGAATTGGTCCAGTTAATTGGTTGCTTCGGAGATTCAAATTCACCAATTTCTCACATGAAGCAATACTTGCTGGAATGCTTCCAGTAAAATGGTTTGAGGAGAGATCAAGGACGGAAAGTGAAGGACAGTCCTGGAATTGGTCCGGGATCTCTCCTACCAAGTTATTATTTGAGGCCATGAAGTTTTGAAGATTTGGAATGGAAAGAATGGAGGAAGGGAGAGAAGATTGAAGGTGGTTTTGTGAGAAATCAATGAAAGAAAGAGATGTAGAAAGAGCAATGTCATTTGGGATTTGGCCAGTCAGATTATTGTTAGCCAGTTCCAGCCTTTGAAGCTTCACAGGTTTGCTAAAGCCAACTGGGATTGTACCAGAAAGAAGATTATTTTGCATGCGGACACGAACTAGGGACATACATGTCGTTAAAGCAGTAGGAATCGGACCAGAGAAAGCATTATTGAAAAGAATGAGCTTAGTGAGGTTACCTCCATTGCACAAGTTTACTGGAATTGGACCAGAGAATGAATTAGTCGATATGTCCAACCACTGTAGTGGTGAATTATGACCAAGGTCACTTGGCAAAGGGCCTGACAAGGAATTGTTCCATAGCTCAAGGACGACTAATTGAGTCAACCCTCCAAGTCCAGAAGGAACTGAACCTGACAATTGATTGCACATTAGATTCAATAACTGCAAATTCTTCAGTTCAGCTATCGCAGCTGGAATCTCTCCTGATAACATGTTATCTGAGAGATCAAGCAGCTGTAATGAAGCTATGTTGCCAATTTCTGGTGGGATCTTCCCTTCAAAATTGTTCTTGTATAAGAAGACTGTATTCAGTAACCATAACCTCCCCAGTTCTGCTGGAATTGAGCCACCAAGATTGCCAACTGCCAAGTCAAGATACTTGAGATTGGTGAGATTTCCAATCTCAGCTGGAATTTGACCTTCGAATTCATTGTACCCAAGGACTATAGTCTCCAATGATGAAAGTTCGCCTAGCTCGTGCGGTATATGGCCTGTAAGGTTGTTTCCTGAAAGGCCAAGAAACTTCAATTTTCCCAAGTTCTTGAAAGACAATGGGATCGAACCTTCAAAAAAGTTTCCCCTGAGATCTAGGCTTTCCAGAAATGTTGCATTTCCAAGGTCCTCAGGAAGAGAACCTGAGAAGTTATTGCTCGAAGCGTTCAATGTTGTCAAACCAGCCACACTTCCAAGACCTAGTGGAAAGCCATTGACAAAGAAATTCTGGCTCACATCAATGCTTTTCAATGCAGTGAGATTGGATATAGAATTTGGCAATGGTGATGAAAACTCATTGCAGCACAAGTTGAGAGAAGAAAGGCTTTGTAGCAATTGGACGTCATTCGATACACTGCCACTGAGATTCATGTGGGAGAGATCAAGCTTCTCCACAGCACCATTGGAGTTGCACTGTACTCCAGTCCAACTACAGTGAACTGAACTGTTCACCACTCCATTGTTTGGCATTTTCCAATCTCCGAGCCGATCCAATGGGTCGATGAGTTTTTCTTTTATCGATAGTAAAATCGATACTTCATCATTCAACACCAAAGAGTAACAACCAATGCAACAGTAGTAGAAGAAGAAGAAGAACAGAAATTTCATATTGCTGATCTTCTTCATTGTTCTTGGCTAATCTCAGTTTTCCACCATTTTTCGCTCTCAGAAACAGCAAGAGAGAAGGTGGGTTAGGTAGGGTAGGGTAGGGTAGGGGATAGTGTGAGTTATATGAAAAGTAGTGGAGAGAAGATTGGTTGATTAGTTTGTACTCATATAAAACAAATATTATCTCATGCAGGGATTAGTTATTTTGGGAGGACTCGTGAGATCTTGGGTTCTGCAACAGCTGTTAATATGCAAGTAATGACTGTGAACTTTGGACTTATTAGTAGTGTCTCCGACATTAAACATGGAGAGAATGTGTTCTTACTACTGATACATTGTTTCTTCTTCTTCCTCTCATGTTACTGATAGTCAACTTAAGTGATTAATAATGATCAAGTTCTTTTTTATTTCATTTTTTATGTGGTTCAGGAAACTCCTTAAGAATCATTTGCCTTTNAACCATCGAAACTGTCTCATTCTTCTTAATCATCATCCTGGCCAACCCAAAATCAGCAATCCTTGCTTCAAGATTTGTATCGAGCAGTATGTTATTTGACTTGACATCCCGGTGTATCACAGGTGGGCGACAGTCATGGTGGAGGTAAGCAAGTCCTTGCGCCACTCCAACCGCAATGTTGTATCGCGAAACCCAGTCCACAAGCAACCTCCCTCCTTGTTTGCCATGTAAAGCTTCCCCTAGGCTGCCATTCTGCATATACTCATAAATTATCATTGCATTGGTGTCATTGTGAAGAAATCCAATCAGCCTTACAATGTTTCGATGCCTCAACCTCCCCAGGAGATTTACCTCCCCTACAAGATCATCATTGCTTCCCATTTCAATATCAGTTCCTGATCTCCAGAGTTTCTTTACTGCCACAACTGTATTTAGCCGTTCCATCTCGGCCTTATACACAATCCCTGTTGCTCCCATTCCAATCACATTTGATTCCTTGGTGCAAGCCAAAATGTCATTGCTAGTGAAACAAAGCCTCTGGAATGCCATTAATCTCCAAGGCCACTCTCCACTGCTCATTTCGAACCTTTCCTCAAAGCAACTTCCATTTGCATACCACCTTTTGTATAGAGATTGAGCCCCAAACACAGATATTACAAGAGCTAGAAGCGTCGAAACTCCAATGATCCATCCGGCAATGATGTGTTTCGCATGCACACTCCTCTGCTTCGATGTGTATGCTGAATTTTGGGAGCATGGAGGTAGCACCCCACCACAGAGACCGGCATTTCCCCCCAGATCATCTGGGTTAATTGTTCTGAGCATGCCATTTTCAGGCACAGGACCCTCGAGCCTATTGTAAGAAACATTGAGCATTTCTAAGGCTGGTGAGTTCCCAAAATTCTCAGGGATCCCTCCAGTGAGAGAATTATTTGACAGATCAAGAATTGCTAATGTGGGCATCATTGCAATCGCTCTTGGAATTGGTCCAGTTAATTGGTTGCTTCGGAGATTCAAATTCACCAATTTCTCACATGAAGCAATACTTGCTGGAATGCTTCCAGTAAAATGGTTTGAGGAGAGATCAAGGACGGAAAGTGAAGGACAGTCCTGGAATTGGTCCGGGATCTCTCCTACCAAGTTATTATTTGAGGCCATGAAGTTTTGAAGATTTGGAATGGAAAGAATGGAGGAAGGGAGAGAAGATTGAAGGTGGTTTTGTGAGAAATCAATGAAAGAAAGAGATGTAGAAAGAGCAATGTCATTTGGGATTTGGCCAGTCAGATTATTGTTAGCCAGTTCCAGCCTTTGAAGCTTCACAGGTTTGCTAAAGCCAACTGGGATTGTACCAGAAAGAAGATTATTTTGCATGCGGACACGAACTAGGGACATACATGTCGTTAAAGCAGTAGGAATCGGACCAGAGAAAGCATTATTGAAAAGAATGAGCTTAGTGAGGTTACCTCCATTGCACAAGTTTGCTGGAATTGGACCAGAGAATGAATTAGTCGATATGTCCAACCACTGTAGTGGTGAATTATGACCAAGGTCACTTGGCAAAGGGCCTGACAAGGAATTGTTCCATAGCTCAAGGACGACTAATTGAGTCAACCCTCCAAGTCCAGAAGGAACTGAACCTGACAATTGATTGCACATTAGATTCAATAACTGCAAATTCTTCAGGTCAGCTATCGCAGCTGGAATCTCTCCTGATAACATGTTATCTGAGAGATCAAGCAGCTGTAATGAAGCTATGTTGCCAATTTCTGGTGGGATCTTCCCTTCAAAATTGTTCTTGTATAAGAAGACTGTATTCAGTAACCATAACCTCCCCAGTTCTGCTGGAATTGAGCCACCAAGATTGCCAACTGCCAAGTCAAGATACTTGAGATTGGTGAGATTTCCAATCTCAGCTGGAATTTGACCTTCGAATTCATTGTACCCAAGGACTATAGTCTCCAATGATGAAAGTTCGCCTAGCTCGTGCGGTATATGACCTGTAAGGTTGTTTCCTGAAAGGCCAAGAAACTTCAATTTTCCCAAGTTCTTGAAATACAATGGGATCGAACCTTCAAAAAAGTTTCCCCTGAGATCTAGGCTTTCCAGAAATGTTGCATTTCCAAGGTCCTCAGGAAGAGAACCTGAGAAGTTATTGCTCGAAGCGTTCAATGTTGTCAAACCAGCCACACTTCCAAGACCTAGTGGAAAGCCATTGACAAAGAAATTCTGGCTCACATCAATGCTTTTCAATGCAGTGAGATTGGATATAGAATTTGGCAATGGTGATGAAAACTCATTGCAGCACAAGTTGAGAGAAGAAAGGCTTTGTAGCAATTGGACGTCATTCGATACACTGCCACTGAGATTCATGTGGGAGAGATCAAGCTTCTCCACAGCACCATTGGAGTTGCACTGTACTCCAGTCCAACTACAGTGAACTGAACTGTTCACCACTCCATTGTTTGGCATTTTCCAATCTCCGAGCCGATCCAATGGGTCGATGAGTTTTTCTTTTATCGATAGTAAAATCGATACTTCATCATTCAACACCAAAGAGTAACAACCAATGCAACAGTAGTAGAAGAAGAAGAAGAACAGAAATTTCATATTGCTGATCTTCTTCATTGTTCTTGGCTAATCTCAGTTTTCCACCATTTTTCGCTCTCAGAAACAGCAAGAGAGAAGGTGGGTTAGGTAGGGTAGGGTAGGGTAGGGGATAGTGTGAGTTATATGAAAAGTAGTGGAGAGAAGATTGGTTGATTAGTTTGTACTCATATAAAACAAATATTATCTCATGCAGGGATTAGTTATTTTGGGAGGACTCGTGAGATCTTGGGTTCTGCAACAGCTGTTAATATGCAAGTAATGACTGTGAACTTTGGACTTATTAGTAGTGTCTCCGACATTAAACATGGAGAGAATGTGTTCTTACTACTGATACATTGTTTCTTCTTCTTCCTCTCATGTTACTGATAGTCAACTTAAGTGATTAATAATGATCAAGTTCTTTTTTATTTCATTTTTTATGTGGTTCAAGAAACTCCTTAAGAATCATTTGCCTTTACTAAGGGCGTACCCAATGCATGAGGCTCCCGCCATTGCGTGATCTGGGGAGAGTTAGATGTACACAGGGGTAGAGAAACTGTTTTCATGACCCAAACTTGTGACCTCCAGATGAGAATCATTTGCCTTTACTCTTCTACTGATTATCAGAAATCTATCCATTTTCATGCTGCTTTGATGTAAAGAACAGAATTTGAATTCTGTTAGAAATTCCATTAATTAGGTATTTTGAGGTTTTGACTAAAAGTAATTGGAATAAGGACTGGTTGATTGATGGGGGGTGATGTAAAGATAGATGCAGAATTGGAAGCCTACTGCTGTTACGCTTTTGATTTCACCATCTACAAGAGGAGTGATATACTAGTTAAGAGGGCTGTTAAAATGCTGAGCAATGAATTTAAGAGAATATAATGGTTGTGAAGTCTATAAATACCTATATTTTTGGGATGCATCATGTAATTTCTCTTAAGGTCATGGCCTAGCACCTTACCTAGTTGATTCAATACTTTATTGTTAAAAGCTCCTTTGGGCACTGTACATGGCTGTGGAACACCCACAAAGTTGAATAATCACATGAGTTAGATCTACATTTTATCCTAAATTTTCCTTTAGACCCAAAAAAACAAATCTTAAATTTTTCAAGTTTTCTTCAAGGGAAAAGTTA